ATTTCTAAAAATTTGAATTGTTATAAGCAACGACAACGAGTAAAATAAAGTCCCATTTATTTCTTCTTACTTAGTCACACAATTTTCATTCCTTAGATTAATTTTCTTTTAAGTGCAGATCATTATATTTTAAATCTAATAAAACAGCAATTTTTACAATTAACCTGTTTACAAAATGTTCTTACATAAAGCTGCAATAATTGTAAGTAATGAAAACAAAATAATTTGGATTTTTGAGGACATTATTGAAGTTTAAAAAAACAAATACAATGATGAATGAGAAGCAGTTACGGATTTGACAAATGGAACCTTCTAGTATCTCAAAGATTTAGTTTGACTGTTTTAAGGAACTTTTTAAGCTATTATATACACCATTATAAATTTTCCACAAAAAAAAGAATAAATAACAATTTATCTAATTGTTCCTTTTTGTTTGAATATGGTAAAATAGTAATTTATTCAATTGTTATTTTACCATATTCAAGCAAAACAGCAAATTAATCATAAATGAGATGGTAATTAAACTGTTAACTCTTAGAAAAACCATTTATTAATTGCTTTCATCTAATATAGAACAAGCAGAATTTTATCGCACCAACTAAGCCCACCTAATGAAGCTACTTAGTCCCTTGCAGCTGAGTACATATTATATCAGAGAGGGCTAATCTGTCAGTCTCATGATCGTTAGAACGAGGGTTCGAATTACAGCGTTGACACCGTAATACTTCTTCCATTCCTTTCAACACATTAAGAGTTTTCAGTGTTCCGAACTCTCCATTGCCCATTACATAATAAAAAGCCTAGCTTCAATGTCCTGTTAAATCTATTTTTTTACGGTTTTGAAACCATGCTTCTTGTAAATGGTTAAAATTTTTTTATAGTTTTGCATTTATGGTTTTACAACCATATTAGTTTGTTACACCTGAAGGGTGACATGAATTTCGATCAGTGAGAACTGCCTTGTGAGAGAAGCAGAGCAGTGGAAAAGAGCCCTAAGACAAGTAGAAAGACTTTTTCTAGAACTGTTTTCAGGTGTGGCAACTGCGGCTGGGAGAGATTGATTGTTTGAACAAAGAATGTGTGGGTGATATTCTATTGTAGTTTTCACGAGGATTAGGGGGCTTGCCCCCCTAATTCCTTCAGAGAGAGTTTTTTTGTCCTTGCCTGAATGTGGTAGGCAAGAAAATAATTTCTACTCAGGGGCAAGGAATTTTCCTTGTGTTTTAATTCCATATTCATCGTTGTGAAAGTTTAAAACCAATTTTATAGAATTGTAAAATTCTTTTCTTCAAGATGTGGTGTTTGCACCACTGTATTTAGTGTTGTTTGATTCCTCCAATAAATTATGTAAGTTGTCTATAATTTTGATTCTGTCTTTCTTTCTAGAGCCATGTTATTTTTTCTAAAATATTCTCTTTCACTAGGATTCACTATTCTTTTTTAGCTTCCACTATATATCTTTTTTTAGATCACGCGCCGGTCTTATGCCCACGTGCCGGCAGTAATTATCTTATAGCTTAATTCATTTTTCTTGATTGAATTATTTCTTTTCAGTTACCTGCTTGATTTAGGTAAGAAAGTAAGATATGTAATTTATAATATAGTGATTTATTTATCACTTAATTATTAACTCTCTCGAGTTAATTCCAGCTTGATTCTTGTATCTTGGATACATCATGTGTAAACACACATGCTTCCCTTATATTTTATCTATGTTTATTTATCTCAACAAGCTATATCATAGTTGTTAACGGATTTAAAACCGTAAAGATAAAATAAGTTCTTTACAGTAAAGTTTACTGTTAATTGTATGGACAGACTGCGGCAGGTTACTTATCCATAATTTTAGAATAAAACTTTTAACTGTAGTCCAACAGTACATAACTCTATAAATTTATTTATTAAAATTTTTTCTTTTTGAGAAATTAACAATAAAGAAACATTGCACAGACTATAGAATATATTATGGAATGGATAATTTAATCGGAATACATAGTTTTAATTGGTGTTATTTTGTTTATTTCAACATGTTAATCTTGTATTAATTTATCTTTCTGAATTATTTTTAACCATAGAAATCTGTTCATAATTGTACTTACTCTCACGCAAAGCGTATTTAAAGTTGCCCAAAAAATCCAACTCCAGACTAAAATGAAATATAGTTAAAGCACAAAATAGTTTTGATCGGAATTATTTCGCTATTTTCAGCGCGTGTGTTTTATGTTAATATATGTTTCGAAATTTAATTTAAAAAATATAAATTTGTAAATAAATGTACTTTCTCTCACGCAAATCATCTTTAAACTAACCGCAAAATCTAATCCGAATCTAAAATAAATTTGTGTCCGTTATAGTTAAACATAACACAAACTAGTGCTAAAAATAGGGAAATAAATGGTGACTGTTTTTCATTTAGAACAAAATGTAAAAAAAAAAAGAAAAGCGAGAAAAAAAGGAATATAAAAAACTACCAAATAGTTGGAATTTTTTTTGTCGGAAGCTGGCATTTTTTCTTTTTTTTGTTTACTCTACCGACGAAAAAACATCCCCTGCACAGCTGTTACTACCTTACATTTACTCTTTTTTACTTGCATGCAGCCCAGTCGCCTAATTTAAAATTCTCGAGAAAAGTTCAAAAATATATATGGAGAATTTTTACAGCCACTTTTCTCTTAGAGTGCAGAAACACTTCGGAAGGAAATATCGGTATAGCACTTAGCCAGATAACGTCTTTGAGCATCGAATTCTATGAGGGCGCTCAAATCACCTCTCCGCAGTATTTTCTTTCACGTTTTATGCTCGAATAACAATAAAATGGCTGTAATAGAAAACAATTGGGATGAAAGAAAATGGTCGACGCATTATTTCAGTAAGACTTTTCAGATTTTCCTCAAAAGTAATGTGTTTGTCGTCGTTCTGTTTTAATGGGCACAAATATTGGCCACATTTGTTACATATTTTCCGGGAAAATATTATATTTGGGTTTGGTTTTAGACCGTTTTTTTAAAAAATTAACTGCACGGAAATTGTTAAGTTCATGCGCATATTGATATTTCTTAGGGGACATATACCCTTTTTTGAAGTTACTGTAAAATAAGATTATTATCATCGCATTATCAATATAATATGTAATGTTTAAAATCTTCGTTGATTAATATTATTTCAATTACAAACGCTAATTACTATATAAGAAAATATTATTATCACTCTCATATCTGGTAAACGAGTAGGTTATGCTATATTGTCACAGATCCAGTGATTGGTATTAATTTAGTGTTATTGTGAAATTGGTATATGAATATATTTCAAATTTTATTAAAAATAAAATCTTATGAATCAAATTTTATGAATTTTTCGGTATTCCTTTATATATTTTATCCATGATTTTACATAGTTTTAAGAAATTTTGAAACTCTTAACTGCTCTTTTTTTCTCATTTCACACGAGTTTTAAATGGAAATTAACTCACAGGCTACTATTATTGTCATATTTTTTTATGATTTAATATTGCTTTAACTAACTTACTCGAGTACTTCGGTGATTTTTTTAAAATTTTATTTGAGTAATTTGATTTACCAAATTTATATAACTTTTTTGAAACTTATACAAACAGGAGTAAATCCTGTTTGTGAACTTTACAACTTTACTTTTTAGTGAATTTGTATTCCCGTCAAGCATTGTACTGGTTTACACAGATGACTGTTCCATATGAATGCTACTTATTTGGCTCGAGCTTTGTCGGTATATCGAGCTAAGATGCGATTGTATTTTCTAGGGCCTTCATGCACTTCTCAGGTTACTGTAGCAGTAGCAATATTACACCTATTCCTTTAACGTATGATTTAACCTTAATTGTTTATGATATTTTTAACCTTTGTCCACTAAATTAGATAATGAGCAATGATTTTAAATGTAACATTAGTAGTGTAACATTAGTTGTATTATTAGCTAGTACTTTTCTACTCAATATAAGAAATTCGCATCTGGGCAGTTAAGACTGCGTGCAAGGAGCTTTGATTCGATCAATGATCCCCACAAAATTCGTAAACTACAAATCGCTTGTTACCGCTTGTCTGTGTTACTTATCTTGAGTTTAATAATTGTCACCTATTCCTTTGCAGGACTGGGCGTGTGTGCCACCGTCCTCCGTTTCTTGTTCCGGGGGTGGGGGCTATCGTGATGGTGGGTTATTCATTTCCTTAAACCCACAACGGACGGGGTGGCGCACTTTACTCTTAATATACAAGGATATCGGTCTCATTTGTTACATATTTTTGAGAAAAAAACTACTATTTTTGTTTTAGTTTAGAATGCTTTTGAAACTTTTCAAACTGGCATTTATGTCCTTTGCTATATCCACATTCATCATCGAATATTTATTTGGTAACACTACTACTGTAAAGTTACTCTAACTTGAAATAGCATCATTGCATTAAATACAATAATTTTGTATTTCAGTCATTAAAATCTTTACTAGTAAGCGATAGTTCTATAATAGATCAAAAAGTCATAAGTTAAAGCTCTTGACATCCACCCATTCAGTGAAAAATTTAGTTTTCTTATACTGTTACAAATGCAATGAACGTGATGCGTTACATGTGACTGAGATTAAAAAAACATTAATTTAAAGTAACATGTGAAAAAAAAACATAATTTTAACATGAAATTTAAGAAATTTTCCAACAGTTACATGTCTTATTTCATGCCATTTTAATAAACACAAATATTGACCGTATTAGCTGCCTTCCTGTTTAAAAATATTATTCTTTAAATAGGAACTTAGAGCTATTCTATGCCAGTTACGCAATTTGTTCATAAAATTGGTACTGATATCTAAACATGGGGAAAGTCAGAAACTGATTTCGTAAGTTGATCACATAAAACCACACATCTTTATCTCCCTTGTTTTGTTACATTAAATTTTCAAATCACTGGTCATTTTTAAGACACGAGGCAAAAAAACTAACAAAGAGCAGACTTAAAATTTTAAAATTTCTTACCTGCATGTTCCTCCATTTTGGCAGCTTGAGACAGCTCCCGGTTCACAACCGGGATTGTATTGACACTCAGAGCCGTAGAAATCTGTGAAACAATGACATACATAGGCTGTGAACAGAGCAGTTGCATAGCATGAGCCAGTAAATGAGCAATGATGGTATAGACAAGCATCCTTTCGAATTGATTCATTTCTACCCACAATTTCATAAGTCATGTTGAAACCAAAAACATCAAGTAAATGTTCGCGTACTCGCATATGAATATTTCCAGATTCTCGTACCAAAAAGTCCAAAACCAAAACTGGTTTGTTACTCACTAGGTAGGTAGGTTCTCTGTCAGAACTTATCATTCCAAATTCCTTTTTGCCCATGTATAATGTGTCTGAGAAAAAAGCATATTCGTTAACTGTCAAGCCTTCTCTCATATAGAACTGTGTAAAGTAGATAGCTATGACTTTATCTGCAGGAGCTTCTATGACCCACCTACAGTTTATAGGTACCGGGTATGGCTTTGGGAAATTCGGCGTTGAGATTATTCCTTGCGAATCTCTTAGAATTCCTCCACATTTTGAGTACATAGCTTCATGCTCTTTCAATGCACTCGCTGCAATGATTTGTGTTTCATCTATTCCATAAGCTAAAATTATGTTTGAGCAATAACACATGAAACAAATGAAATACACTCTAGGTAAAAGATGGTTTTGCATTGTGGAAAATGTCACTTGTTTTGTAGGGACAAATCTCTTCATTCTAGATTTTAAACACAATTCGAATAAATGTTTTCATGCTTAACGAATCTTAAACTGTTTAACATCTTGGGCAATTTAATCCATTATCACAAAATGGATTATCTTGAATAAAGCAGAGAAGTTGTTATAATTTTTATCAGTTTTTTTTTAAAAATCCAAACGCAACAGCCGTTCATAAAATCCAAACTCTACCATCTTTAGCCATACATGCTTCCTATAATTGGATATTTTCAACCCAAGCAGTTAGATATTTTCAACCAAATAGCAGCTAGCAAATTTCTGATGCTTTGCAAGTAGCAAATCTTCATAGTATTAAATTACATTTCGTTTATCATATTATACAGTGACTTTTGTAATGATAATCATGAATTTGGAGTACATTCTAAATATATTTAGTAACATGGTTTTTTTGTTGCTAATACATAACTCTTTCAATAGAAATTATTTATCAAGGAATCATTGTATAGTTATCGGGGATGCTTGTCTTGTATGTCTGTACCAACAAAATTCTCACAATTAAGAGATTAGTTTCAGTTGTGATAACATATCCGTCAGCTCCTGTAAAATAAAGTTAAATCATATAAATATAGTGGTGTTATTTATTTCGAAACAAATTTTAAAAGTGTTATAAGGAACTAAATGAAACATAAGATACAGTGTATTCTTTTAAAAAATGAAAGTTTTGTCATCATTTATACCAGCAACATGAATATAATGAGTAGTCCTATTACGTTTGTTTAAAAGTATTCCAAAAGCTTACACAAACGCCAACGCTGTTATCTGTGCTACGCTATGTGTAAAAACGCTATGGCTGTTTAAATCGAAGATTTAAATAAATATCAAGATAGCTGATTGTATGTTTACTACTTTTAATTGATATTTCCAGAAATATCTGAAATATGTGTCTGACATTGTAAGTATTTATCTTTTTTTAAACAAAAACATTGTAAGTATTTATCTTTTTTTAAACATGTACTGAAAATATGGTTTTATGAGATAACTAAGTGACTTAATGAATGCTTCTTTCTGTAAAAAAATACAATCTAAAGTATGGAGGATGCCCTTTTTGTGCATCATTCATAAAGTCCTTTTTACGATAAAATCCATTTTTACAGCAGAAAATATTCTGGTACCATAATACTGTAAATTATCTAATTAAATAAATATTACTATAAAAATTACGGTATAATAATACCGTAATTTGCACAGTAATATTTATTTAATTAGAGTACTTCAGTGATTTTAGAGTAATTATTACTGAAAAAATTATGGTATATCAAATTTTTTGCTCCGTGGTAAAAATTTATTTTTTTCCGAATTTTCTTACAGTGTTGTAGCTTACATATCAATGCTCATTGTTTAAGTGCGCATTATTTCAAAAATAAATTAAAAAGCTTGTTATCAGTAATTGGTAATGGTTTTCAAGATTTAAAATTGAAAATCTTCATATAGAAATATTTAAATAAATTAAAACTTCTGTAATACATTGGATGCAAGATTAAAATTTCTTTAAAATTTTTTTTCAATCTATAAAAAAAATTTCACGGTAAATAATGCCCCGTGGAAACTCCATGGTTAAGTCACTCAGCCGTTTATGAAAGAAAAAAAAAGAAACACACACACCAAAGGTTTTGATCCTCAGTGGCGGTTTGAAGCCCACTTAAAATTTTATTGATTTGTGCCTAATTGCCTGCCTGGAAAGTAAAACTGCATATCTGTAATTAACATAGGTTACAATATTGGTAATTTTTCATGATCGACTGCCCCCAACGAACTGTAGAAGGAAAGTTTTATTTTGCTCACTTTATTAAAAACTTTATTTAAAAATATAATAAATGAAGGTAGAAATTACTTAAGAGTAGCTACTGTAATTATTTAAAATAGTTTAAAATTGCTGAAATATATGTAAAATTAACCAAGCAAATTAAACAACCGGGAGTCGGATATGCATCAGATATAAAATGAACAGATTCCACTTCCAAATATTCTCTCGGCAGAAAATGGTAATTTTTATGGTTAATAAATGTTTCGAATTGCATCGCAACCATTTATGGATTATTTAAAAATTATCAACTTCAGCAAACCATTGCTTATGCTTAGCTACATTTAATATCTTTAAGCTGCAAGCAATATTTGAAATCAAATAAAATTGTTAAAATGTATGCATAAATGATTAAACACAGAAGAAAAAGTAAATCTGTTATTTTTCAGAGACAAAATGAATAATTTCTACATCCAATTTTTCCGACGTAAAAAAATGATAATTTGTTTTTCTAGTCAAAGCAATCTGCTAAATATCAGTCCCATCTCATCTCGGACATAAAGCATCCACCACATTAAGCTTATAAGAGAGAATAAATTCACATTCATCATTTTGGATTCATTCACATAGTAGAAGAATGTGGAAGAGGGTGAATTAGTGTCTGCAGTATCGGGATGGGCTAAGGAATGATAAAATCTCCAATGCGGATGTAGCAAAAGAGAGCACTACATTCGATGATGCGGGAGAGCTGAAAACCACGTGATGCTGTATTCCCAGAGTTGCAAAGGAAGGGAGTGATCTATTTATAGCTACTGGAGGGTTTCCAAGAAATGAGGGACCAGCTTATTGATTTATTATTGTATTTTACTATTTTTTTTTCACTTTTTTGAAGTGTCTGAAATGTGTGTTACATGATAGATAAATTCGTCAAATATTATTAGAAGTGCTGTATAAGATATTAGAAACATATTATAAAACTTTATTTAATCAATCACATTAAGTGCTATTTGTGCCTATGAAGTAAACTTTATGCTCAGAAATTTGAACTCTAATTAAAAATGTGGTATGCAGGGTTTCGATTATTTTTATAAAATTTGTTAATAAGTTTTTTGCTTGCAGTAAAAAAATCGATTCTTCAAAATAAACCTTAACTACTTGATACAAGCATTTTTGTTGCTATATTAATGTTTTTAAAATTTGTGTTCGTAAAATATAGGTTTTAATACAACATATTTAGATGAATACCTCTAGAAAACAAATATTTTATGAACAATAATTTATGGAATTTATTTTCTCTTACTACAGCAGACCCGGAAACTTTGCATTTATGCTTTTCCTCAAAAACTTTTAGTGATTTTTTTCTTCTTTTGAACACTTTTCATGAAGATGAGCTTCACAATATCGTACTAAGTTTTGCATCAATTTATATTTGCCATATCAATAATAAATCATCAATACATTGCATCTACTTAGAAACTATTCAAACAGAGAATTTACTTGAAAACTATTTAAAATTTCAATATCTTTCACAAGTTTAGCCTGGTCATATTTATAAAAAGCAAATTTAAGCTGGTTAAGTTCTTGCAAAATAACCGCTTATTGTTAATATGCATTTTATCACGTGATATGCAGCAACTACACCTCTCACACGATAATATTATAATGAATAATAGGATAATTATGATAAGAATATAATACGTTAAGGATACCTCAAGATAATATTATAATGGAATAATATAATACGATAACATAAATACCATAATGCTAAAATCTGGTAAGACAATAATATTATAATCCCATAATACTATTTTACAAATACAAATTATTAATGATTTCAGATAGCCAAAACAGCATGGGCAAAGTATAAATACATATAAACTATCTATGGACTCAATTAAGCAATTAATAAAGGACTTTGCCTATTATGCAGTTTCTATGCAGCCAATTTACAAGCATGGTGGACTATTAAATCTGTTATCCATATGTTTCAGTTATCATGTGTCTCACTGTAGCTCCATTATTATTATTTATGAATAATAATAGTGCTTCATTAAAATTAATCGAAATAAATGCAGTAAAAATGACGAAAGTATGATGAATGAAATATCAAAATAACGGTTTTATAATAAAAGTACATTCACTCTCAATAATAAAACTCTCGCATTTCTGAGCTATATTTCGTAAATTATGATAATGATTTCGTCACGAAATCACGTGATTTGTGATTAAATGGGAACTCTTAAACATTTGACAAAAACGTTTCCTCAACTCGAAACCTTATAGTATCGTATTGCGGGAAATTGTTAACTATAACGGCGAAACTATGATGATGACTAGACGATCGAAAGTAAGGCGATGGCCAGTGTGGTGGTCAAGGTGCTGGCTTCGTACAAGAAAGATTTTTGATACGTCAGGTACTGCGAGTTATTTTTTTTGAAAAAAAATAGATAGACAAGATAATTCCTTACTGTTGACAGAACTCGTTTTCTCGCAGAAGTGACGATGGCTGTTTCGTCTCTTTGAGGAAATATTTGCTTGAGCAAGTACCAAGAAACGATTTTGTCAAAAGAAAATTTCGTGAAATTTGAGTATCAATTTTTTACAGTGATTTCTTCGAGGCAATATGTTATCTTTGCTTTTTTCTCTGAAACATATATTAAAACTTAATTATTAATATAAATATTATGTATATGAAAAAATGAACACTATTAGTATCTGTAATCAGTATGAGAGATAAGACATTTATTCATAATAAGAAAAACAATGACGCATCGAAAAATTAAACAAATACATCACTTAATTATGAAAAATGTATTCTTTTTAGTTTTATCGAACCATTTCATGATATTAACAATCAAACCAAACTAGCAAAAATCGGCCAAACCAATCAGTCCTCTAGAAAGCCGAGGTAGAAATAAAAGAAGATGGAAAACTTACGATGGAAATAGATTTGGGATAGATTTCCTCTGACATGCGTTTATTGTATGTGATCCAAGAAAGAGAGAAGAATTGAGGCATCGAAAACAAAAATAAAATGAAACCTCGATAATCTGAAAAATCCAGCGTATCATTCAGCTTTTTCGATATCATTGATTTTTCGTCGGGAAACTCATCATGATTATTTTTTTTCGAACCATTTCTTCATTTAGTCTTTTGTTCGTAGTGGTAACGATTGCCTCCTTACAAATACCCGAGTAATATGTGTGTGTGTTTTGTTTCATTTTTGTCTTGTTAAGTTTCGACCCAGTAAATATCATTTATAGACATTTTTTGATTAAGAGTTGTAGTTTTTTTCACCCAATTCAATTTTTCTAAGGGTTTTGGCACTTTGTATTATCTTTGAGTAATACTTTGTTTGCTCTTAAGCAACAAGTAAATTATTTATTTTAACGAATAGTAATTTTAATGTGTATTGAGAACAAAATCTGATTATATTTAAAAAGAAATAATAAAAATATTTTCTCAACGTTTATTTAGTCTTTTGTTCATCATGCTAAAGTTCAGATAATTATAAAAACTTTGAAATATAAGTGTAAGTTTAGCTTTATTTTTTCTTCTTAAGTTTCGACCAAGTAAATATCATTTATATGCAATTTTTATTAAGAATTGTAGCTTTTCCCCTCAACTAAATTTTCTCAGGGTTTTGTATTTTTGTTTGACATTAATTTTTCTTAAAACAGCAAGTGACTTATTTTAATGAATGATAATTTCAACGTGCATTCGGAACAAAATCTAATAATACTTTAAAAAATTTTAAAAAAATCGTATAATATAAAAATCGTATAATTAAAAAAAT